CAAAAAGGACATGTCTTTGCTGGACAGGAACAGGGTTAACCCACGGGGGCACAAAGAGTGGGCCACTCCATTGCTTTTGTGGCTCTCATCAGTTGCCTTCTAGCAGGGGCGATGGCCCGCGATTATTTCCGGAATTAATTTATGCCTCCGAGCCTCTGCATCACCCATTAGGCTCTCATTTGTCCAGTGGGGAATTTGATATATGTCCTCAGAGGGCACATCCGACGGGTGCAGACACTTGACAAAGCAACAGGACGCGCGCGCACCCGCCCCGGCTCGTTCAAAACCCCTCGCACACTGGCAAACGCCCCGACGTACAAAAAGGGACGGTGCGGCTTCCCAAGGTTGCGTGAGTGTTAAACTCTAATAAACAAGCCCCGTCGGTGAAAGCTGAAAGAATCTGAGCCCTCTCCAACAAAGCATTTAATCCAGTTTGGCATAACCTTTGACATTATTAGGGATCGCAGTGACCCTAATCCAATCAGATTGATTAACTAAAGCGGAGACCCCATAAGCTGACCCCCCTCTGGCCTCTGCTATTTAGTCCTGACCAAACAGTGGGAGAGACGTGCCGTATTTACACCACAATGGGTCCGCGCTGAGAACCTGTTTCATTACAGAGCGACTTAAACTCCCATTACTCCATCAATGTATCATTCTTCAATAGTTCATTAAAAGCTGCTCCTCCACAATAACTATTAACCATTTCTCAGTCCAGCTGGCAGGTTTAAAGCCCCAGCCAGTCTTTAGCAGAAGGAGGTGGGAGTGAGTGAAAGAAATAGATAGACAAGGGCTCCCTTTTTAAATTTAAACGAACTGGGAGCTTAAATAGTTTGAGGTAATTTACTTTTATTGAATGGGGGGAGGAGAGGGAGGAAACTTTTATTTTGACTTAATTATGTGCTGAGGTCCTTTAAAGACACAGGGCCATGATAAGCTTTTATTGTATTACTTCTCTTGAGATTGTTTCATATTTCTGCCCAGAGGAGTTTCAAAGAGAGCTTGCATGGCACTGAGAGGCTAAAAAATACACCACAACTTAAACATGAACACCGTCTTCAGTCCACAAAAGCTAAAACCAGGGCAAAAGACATGATTCCCAATATGTGGCACATAAGTTCAAGATGGAAAATGCCTGTTAGGTTGCACCATTCACTTTCTGTTGTCAGTGATGCATGTCCCTCTACTACATCCTCCACAGTTTTATCCTGTATATTTTTAAAGGCAACTCAAAAATCTTCCCTTGTCCTTGGGGAGCTGAAAGATACTGCAACTGCCTTACAAACTGCCAGACCTTGCAGGTAAGTGGCTGGGCATGAGCTGTGGCTAAAGGTGATCACTTAAGGTCGCGTGGCGATGGCTGTGATCTGCTCCACTGCCTCATGCAATACAGGTGAAGTAAGAAATGAGAACTTTTTTTTTATTTTTTTTTTTTCCTGTAGAAATTACTCTCTTAGAAAAGTTCAAATGGAAGGTTTTATCTGCTCTCCAGTAGATGAGATCTGAACTTCTGGGAGACTAGAAATTACATGAACTGTAACCTCTTATATATGTCTGATAAGCAGATCAGTAGGTTTAGGTAGAGGGAAAGAGATCAGGCTTTTTTTCCTGCATAGGCATCCTGTTCTTTGCATTCCCAACAGTCTAGGGTACTCGAGACACCTATTTCCTAGTGATTTGAAAGAAAAACCCAACAGTGGCACCTATCTGAATGTTTATCCATGGAGGTGCACATCTGCTCATACTCTCTCAAGACCACAAAGGAGGAGAAACCCCCTCTTCCAACATCCCTGTAGTGATTTCACCTCTCCAATTCCTGAATCATTCCCCGTGCAAGTAGCACAGCATAGCAAGGCAGGTGACTCTGTTCCCCTTGTATAGGGAACATTTATTCTACAACCAAGGACCTGCAAAACAGAATATTTAAATAGATGGATGGGATGGGGGATTTCTGCTCTTCGTATGTCCTGAGTGACATACAAAGAGCTAAAGAGACATAGGGCCAAGCCTGTCAAGTATTGCCTCCAAATAGCAGCAGGTCTGGATCCCCTGAACATCACCATTCCCTTGTAGCTGAGCTCATGAATATCATTGCTGTTTGATATGTGATTCATTAGGCCTGGCTATAGTAATGTTATAAAAAATTACACAAGTAATGTTGTAGCTAAAACATGCGGGATTTCTTTCCATAAACAGGCTGATGGGGAAAAAGAGTCTGATTTTAGATGAGATATCAGAATATGGCTCTTAACAGGACCAGAGTCTGGTGACAGTTTGGCATCGCTGAATCACAGCTCAAGCCTAGCCCTGAATTAGCAATGAGATACAAGGGCAGCCCAGACACAGAGGCAGCCTCAGTGAGATTTGGGCCTAGAAAGTATTTCCTGAAGGCATTAAAATCAGTCCTTTCCAATGAAAGAATTGCAGATAGTCATGTAAGGCAAAAGGGAGTTGCTTTAGTGACTACGCTGGTTTGTGCAGAGGGAGGATGGGGTCCCTATTGACTCAAATGAGAAGTTGCCGTTAGATCTTGGGTGACTTAAATCCCAAGCTGCAAAATAGAGTTTTGCTTGCTTGCTTGTTTTCTCTCTTTTTCTCCTTCTCTCTTTCTGGGTAGGAGCTCAAATATGTTCCTACCCTGGGGGATCTGCCGCACAAGAATGCGACTGAGCTGTTTTTTTTTCTCCCCCCTCCTGCTGTAGGTGAAGCAAAACTGAAGGGTGGTTTGATTCTCCCTCAAGGAACAACATTCTTCAGTTATGAAATCGTCCCAGCCTTCTTTCCCTCCCTGAGCCTGGCTACTGAAAGCCTGAAGTCTCAAGCAAGGACAGACCCTTTGTGTCGACACCATTGTGAGATAAGAACTTCTGGCAGCTTGCAGGATCAGGCTTCCTTCGGTTAGCAAGGAGGTGAGGATTGCTTTCCTCATGCACAGGGTATAATTGCTACAGGAGACGTGGAGCATCTAACCCGAGACCATCTGGGAGCATGAGCGGCTCCATGTGTCCTTGAGGACATCCAGTCTTGTGATGAGGCAAAGACATTGGGTTATCTGGTTCACTTACTGCCTATGCCCAGAGAATGATCTTGGGCAAGTCATGCTGGGCTTGTGTGTATGGGAAGAATACTCAGTTTGGCTGTGCTGGTGTAATTTGACTGCTGTAGTCACCCAGGAGTGAGGTACTCAGAACGGGTGCTTTAATTGCATGCAAAACGTTGTGGTATGACACTTTGATATGGGCTTAAGTGCACCACACTGCAGATCTTACAGAAGGTAATTATTTTGGGCTGATCTCTCACCGCTAAACCCGAATAGTGACACCAGCTTTAACATGGTGCCTCAGCTCCCCAGCTCTAACGGGATAACCCCCACCAGCCAAAACCACCCAGTCTCCTGCTGGGTGCATGTAAAATGCCTGTTCTGGCTGGTGGAGGTCCTGCCAAGGTACAAATCAAGGCTTTGCTCTCTCTTGGTTGCTATGTTCTTCAAAATTCATGCAAGAGGAAATGCTCAAGTCTCTTCTGAGTAATGCAGCAGGGGAAGAACAAACAAAACCCCCATCTCCAGTTGGCAAGCACTGGAAGAATGTGCCCCAAGGTGAGTGCAGATCAGCTACACACACCAACTCAGGAGATTCCCTGAAACTCTCCCAGATGCTCCCTCCTCTCTCATAGGAGGTCAAACAGTGCTACTTCACTATTCAAGACGGAGTAATTCCAACTTTCAGACTGTCAGAAACTTGTAACCGTTACTCTTTTACAAAAACAAAAAAGAAAGAAAAGAGAATTTCCAAGCCTTTTTGGCTGGTGCTCTCCTATGAGAAAGCAGCCATATTCCTGCACAGTTCTGCAGCTGGACTTACCGTCAGGGCAGGGATCAAATACAAAGTGAGCCTGCCTCTTGGATGAACCCCTTTGTGCTCAAGTGAAAGGCAGAGCTTGACCCAGACTTACTGAGACCAGAAGGAGCAGGCTATACTTTAAAAGACATACTACAAGGGAAAAAAAAGAATAGAACAGTTCTTACGGGTTAAAATAGGCTCTTGCCAACTTATAAGGGATAAGTTACAGATACTCAGATTTAGCCAAGTACTTAAGTCCCACTGCATTCAATGATTTAGGGCAAAATATTTCTAACAGCTCCCACTTATATCAGTAAGTGCTGTGTCAGAATTAGTTGCCTGAATTAGCACTCTGTCTTAATTTTCCACATTCATAAACAACGAAAACAGAACCTTTAATTAATGGTGATTTTTTCAGGCCTTTGATCTTCACTGTTTCCCATTATGGTATCAAAACTGATGCTACCTGATAAGCACAGCACCTAGGAACCATCTCCAACAGCCCATTATCTCCTGTCTGCAGTCATTGAGAGAGATGAGAATGCTGCATGAAATGCCATGGGGTCAGAAAAGGATCCAGACGTCCAGCTTGACCGCTGCAAACACAATAATCCTTTGTTTTCCTTCCAAGGGGCATAGGATCATAGGACAATTCATGTTGAAAGGGACCTTGGGAGGTCTCTCATCCAACCTCTTGCTCCAAGCAGGGTCAGAGATGACTTCAGTCTCTGTGCACTGACAAGTGGGGCGATTCCCCATTCTCTGAGTCACTCATACAATCCCAGTAGAGATTTGAGGTAGAAATAGTGGTTATCTGTGACTGGATGTTGGCTGTACAATGGAGGTGGTGGGTAACCACCCTCCTTACATTGAGGAGGAACACATGTACTTGCTATCCCTATGAGAACAATTAATTACCTTGTCTCTACAAAAGACCTTCTGGGTCAGGTTTGAACTGCTTGGATGGGATCCTGGACCAACAAAATACTCCTTGACTGTGTCACATGCCTCCTTTATCAAGCTCAAGTCCTATCTCCAGCAGCCCATTTTACATGACACTTTATCAGAAGCAAATGAGTTCACATTAGGTTTCTCAAGATGTCTGCTACTACTCCACCATGGATATTGCTGTTGCCAAACCTGCAGCACTGCACTCACCTTTATCTAACACGGGCCCAAAGATGGCTAAGCTGTCATTGACGGTCGTGCAATTCCACCTCCTCCCTCGAAATTGGTGTTGGCATTCCTGGATCCCAATCTTTACCCCTTCAGCTACGCTGGGCATGATCTCCACATAGTTCCGACAGAAGCGTAGCTGCTTGGGTACCAGTCCTGGGATGCTCCCACAGAGGATGGGCTGAGTCCCCAGGGAGGAATACTGGTGACCAATTGCCAAGGACCTGAAAAAAAAAAAAAAAAACAAAAAAAAAAAACAAGGAAAAAGAGATGCTGTCAGGTTGGCTTTCACCTTTGTGTTTGGTTCACAAGAATGGGGAGAGAAAATCAACATCTTCAGATCCTCTGCATTGCCCTCTCTAGAAAACGTCCTTTTCACTGTTATCCCTCCCCAAAATAACATCATCTTTCTCCTGAAGTTCCTTACAGGCCCAACAAGGCAAGCAGCTCTGCCTTTAATATCATCCTTCCCTTTTCTTCATCCCCTGAAAGCCTTAATGCAACCTTGTGTTTCTTCTTCCCAAAGATGCTCAGCTCATACAGCCAGTTTCCATTGTACCCAGAGGGTCAGACCCATATTTCTTTGAAAGCCAAGCACACCTATGCAGGAGCAGGTAGGTTTTATAGGAAATTTTGACAGCTGAGGCAGCCCAGGGATTAGACAGTCAAAAGCACTTTCAGAGTTACACAAAGTAATAACACCAACAGAAAAGACACCATGCTCCATGTCTTTGGAAGAAGAACACCAAAAATTGATAGCCATCATACAATTCAGCAGTGTGCTCTATATATTTGAACCTTACCCGACAACTTCTGTGCACTGAAAATGACCCTAAAGACTCAAGCATTTTGGACTTTGAGAACTTAAAAAACCCAACTCTGAGCTAAATGTTGCAAGAGTGCTACATAAACTCACTACTATAAGCATTTAAAATTTCTGTGCTATGGAGGAAAGGGGATGGAAATGCACTCCTGCTAGAATAGAAGTAACTCAGGATAAAACTGTGGCTTAATATGGATTCAATATCAATGCTGTTCTCCTGTGTGAACAATGATACTCATGTTAGTAGAAACACTACCATTAAAATAGCTGCAAGTGTCTTTCTGGATATTAGTTCAACATATTTTCACTTCACTTTCACACCAGTGTCAATTTGGGGATTTTCAAAAGTAGGGCTGTATTTTCACAAAACAATGCCAGATTTGCTGTACTGCCACAAGGATATGGAGAGCCTGTTTTGACCATCAATCTGTGAATTGCTTTGATTGAAGTGAGGAGAGTGAAATAATTAAAAGAAAAAAAAAAAAAAAGAAAAAACCCCAACAAAACTTAAGTGCAAATTCTGTGCTCAGCCAGATGGAAGTCTGTAGAAAGGAGTGTCCATGAACCATTATGTTGGTTGAAGCCTTAGAGACAAACAAGTCAGCTATGCAGATAGATCAGCAGATATGTAGCTAATTAGATAGATTTTTAAAGTGTTTTTACCGGTGCTTCTAATAATAACCTTGATTACTAAAACTGAAAGGATTTTTAGAGTATAATTTCCTTTTCTTCTAATTAAATCTCTTGATTGACTTTTCTGCTCAGAAGTAATGACAAACAGAAACCTGCCTGGGCAGTGTGTATTTCTGTTTACATTCATTTTTGCTATGTGGTTTTCATTTGGGAACAGCCTGGTGTATTTGAATAATCAACGGGGCAGTCAGGGAATATGCCTTCACTCTCTTTTGCTCTGACAAAAAAAATGTACAAGAATTCTATCATTGCTGGAGTTCACAAGAAAATTAACTTAACCTTAACACTTCTCTAGGCTAGGATAAAAAATGTTTTAAAGTAACTATGCTTTTTATGGGAGAAGGGTCCTTGCAGACAGTTAGCTCCTTTCCCGGTGGGTTCCTGGTCAACAGAGGACAGAAGTGAAAAGGAGAAAAGGAGATGGACATTCATATGGTCAGGTATCACATCTCAGTGGCCTTGCAAGCTGTGCGTAGACTAGGCTTTACAAATCAGTCCTTTCCAGGCAAGTGAGACATAGGGACATCCATTTCTGGATCCCAAATTACTCTAGGTAGGAGCCTAGAACCAAAATAATCAGCTTAGCCAAGAATACACCCTCCAGTAAATGAACTTTAGATGGACAAGGTAGCAGGTGTCTGGGAAAGCAAAGGATTTTCAGCAGATTTACTAAACTCAGGTGCCTCTTTCCACCTCAGCTGCACTTTTGGGAGAAAATTAATCTCACTTAACATTAGAGGACAATTCTTCCTACTACAAATAGCATGAACTGCCCTCCAGAAGTGCCTCTCTCTTTCCATTGCATTGAAAGATGGAGGAAGGCAGCTCACACTGACCAGGAACTGTGTTCATCTCACCTATCTTCTGATGTCTGCAACATGGAGATCTCCAGCTGATCTACTCCCCGTAGCGTGCTTTTGTAATCAGTCAGTGGAGAGAAAGAGGCACTTCTAGGGCACGATTCATCTGCCCCATTTAAGACATCTGCTTTGGGATGAGGTGAATCATGGCCTTGCCTCCATTGACTCTATTGGCTAGACTATCAAGGCAGCCTGAGTGACTGATTGAGTGGGATATGTCTGCACTGCAAAAGTCTCCAGATGAATCATGCCATGATACCTAACAATAGAGATGGCTAAGTTCCTTGAAAAAATCCCACCCAGGAAAGTGAAGTGCTGTGTTGAAGCCCATGCAAAGAGCTCATCTGTAGGAAGCAGGCAAGTTCCTGCAGGAGCCTGCAGGAACCCACAGGAGAAGACCAAGTAAAGGACCCAGTTAACTTGTTTTCCCTAAGTGGCTTGATGTGGGTTTTCTTGAGCTTTAGATTAATTCAGGGAACAACTAGTGGCATAAAAGCACCTGTGAAATGGAGCCCATGCCAAGCCAAAGGGTGTTTTCACTTTGACAGCACTGTGTACATTTTCGTTTCATTGTTAAGTTATATACAAAACACTGGATCACAGTTTCTGGACAAAAAGCACCTTCAAAAACACTGTTTCAGGCTTCACAGGACTTGATGAGTGTGTTGTCCCTGTGGCTTTGTTGGGAATGTGGAGTCTTAGGGTGCCACATCTCCAAATCTCTACCCATTCAATCCGCTGAATACTGGGAGCTAGGAGTTATTCACAGCTGATAACTTTAGTCTCAGTCCTCATCTCTATATAAAGTGGGTAGAAATAGAAATCTTCATTGAAGCCTCCAGAGAAGAACACTTAGTTGCTCTGACTCATCTTTCAGAGAATAATTCAGTCACTCACTATAAAAAGAGTCCAGGATGGCTACTTGCAGTATCTAAAATTAACTTTGGTGGAAACATCTGCAGGGCTTGTTCCCACATAACTAAAGTCACCAGCATCCTTCTCAAAGCTTCCAAAAGTGCCCCATCCAGTTCCCACCAAAGACAAAGTATCCACTGAGATAGAATCAACCTGCTGTAGGCTCCATCCATCATGCTGTGAAGCTAGGAGGACTTGCTTGAGCTATTTCAATAGGACCTGGATGAAGCTTTAGGATTCCAGTCTCATAAACCTTAATTTATGTGAACAGTCAAACTCAAGCCTGTCTCTATATTTTTTGTTGGTTACTACATTGGTAGAGTGAAAACACCAGTCATAGGAAGAGGAGGTTATAGGTTGGTGCCCTCAACTATTCGTTTCCGTTGCTGGGAAGATCATCTAAGATTAAAACAAAACAAAACAAAAATATGTAGAAATACTTTTAATTGCTTTTCACACTGCTCCCTTCTCAATACAGTAGAGAAACAGTCACACCTTGCTTTGATCTGTGTTACAGTCTGGAAAGTTTAATCTGCAAAAGACAATCTCCAGCAAGAGTCTTGTTCTCAAGGCGTCATCAGGCACTGAGACAGTGTAATGCAAATTTGGCATTTGATGGAGGAGTGTGCAGTCACTTGACTTTCAGCTGAAGATACAGGGTGGAATCTCAAAACATCTCTCCACGAACAGTGCCTCTGCTGTTAAACATAGCTAAGCACAGTCCTCTTCCTAGCTCACTTGCAGACTGGAGTATGATATCATCTATCAGAGCACCTTCTTTTGGTCTCTACTTTGCTTCCAGCTTCCAGGTGTAAACACTTTCTCCCCCTCTCTAAAGTCAATTTATCTTTAGGAGAACCAAGTTCTCTCATCTTCCTGTCATTTTTATTGATCACAAGATATGAACCTTATGAACCTTCCAACCCTACCCTCCACCCCTCCCCCAAACCAACAACAAACCAACAACCAAAACCTTTAGAAAACATTGGGAAAGTCTATAAAGATCAGAATCTCATTTCAGTGTTACTCAACTCTCTAGTAGCTCCCATCATTCATTATTCTCACTCTTTCCAATGATTAAACCTGCCTTTTGTATTTTCCACTCTCCTGCAATCTGCTTCTAAATTGCTTTCTGCACGTGCGTGATTTTGAAAATAAGGTGTCGAGCAATGGGCCAAGTGTCTTCTATTGTGGTCTTTTCTCAAGCAACAACACTTCCTGGATGCATTGAAACCAACCTCTTCTTTCTCACTGGGGAATTTGTGGAGCACTCAAGTTTACAAAAACATGCATCCCCAGAACAGGTACAGCTCAAGTTTGAACCAAGGGAAAAGGTCAAAGAGCTGTTCTTTTCAAACCAATTGGCTTTTTCTTCCCCTTAGCTCAGGAAGATCCATGAAAACACTATTCTATATGTCCACAGCCAAAGTTCTTGGCTTATCTTTAAGCCTTGCATGCCCTGAAGTGTTTAATTCAACCTTCAGTGAGAATTTTTCTTTGCCAACACACCTAGAGAGCTCTTAATTTCCCTTATCTCAATCTATCTGCTCCTTCAGCAGAGCCGTTGTAAATAAGTACCTGGCCACCTTCTTAATAAATTACATGTACCCTCCCTCTTGGAATGGACACCACAGCCCATTTATGAGGAAGAAATATGCAGGAGATATATGCTCATAGCTTTATTCAGAAAAAGAGAAGGCTTCAGTTCTGGATGACCTTGCTGTACAGCACCACTCTACTGACCTTTCAAGGTCCCTAACTTCTCAGTATGGCTGTCAAAAGTCCTTGACACAGCAGTAGCAGAATGTAAAGGCGCATACACCTACTTGCTTCTTCCTGAATTCTGTTATTCTTGAACTCTGTAGGAGCTCTATTTTGCTATTCATCTTGGAGAGGCCTTTTGCTGGCTCCAAGTGTGGCTGAGAACTTCCTC